ATACACATTGTATTACACATTGTACACATAATATGTGGAACATTTTTTTTCTCTTATCCTAAAACCGTTTAAACGTTTAAAGGAAATTATTGTTCAGAAAGTGAAAATTGGCTCAAGATTGTTGTGTTTTTTATTCAACCAAGATCAATTGAAAGGACACACAAAACTATAGCATCTCCAATATCTAATCTATCAAAGTATCAATAATGAAGAGGGAAAACAGAACTTCAATAGAACCACACTCTATAAGTGGCCCAATCAACATTTCAACAATGTTATTTTTTAATTGGCTACAGCTGGTCCAAATAGGTCATAGATGAGATGTCACCTTCAGTATCCAGAAGTCAACAATACTGCACAACAACATTGCAACAATGATTTCCTGCCCTCATTGAAAACATAACATAAAAACATGGATGATTGGTAAATTAATCCCAATGTGTCACATGTTCACAAAACATAGAGGTTATCCGTAAGCATAGATAATAAAACATAGGTTTTATCTATGCCGTAAGTCAATGGCATTTATCATGGTGTCAATTCTATGTACATTTGGTATCAAATGACAGAATGTCCCCTACATGATAACGCTATTATCTATACTATTATAAAAAAGAGGTGGTGTCTGTGTGTATGGGAAAAGTAAACGCGAAAACTACTGGTCGGATCGGGCTGAAATTCGGCATGATGATAGCTCATATTCCCGATTAACATATAGGCATATTTTTATCCCAAAAACCCTTCCGGGCTCCGCCCCAGTGGCTCTGGAGCAAAGGTTCCCATGTTAACCTTATGAGAAATGGAATTAATGAATCTTAACAGCTGTTTCAATTAAACAAGTTGGTTCTGTTCTATGATTTTCAATAGCATTAAAGTTACAAGGATTACCAACAGGGTGCAGCACTAGCATTATTTCTTTTACATTTATGACAACAGCTAATTTGCAACCAAAAGGTGAGTGAGCGTAGCGAACGAACTTCAACCTGGAGGCGAGTGAGCGTAGCGAACGAGCTAACCTGAAGGCAAGTGAGCGTAGCGAACGAGCTAACCTGAAGGAAAGTGAGCGCAGCGAACGAGCTCCAACCTAAAGGTGAGTGAGCGTAGCGAACAAACTTCAAAAAGAACCGAAATTTCTTAAACCATGTCCTCACTCATAACTGCTATAAGCATTTGATACTTATATGCCAACCCCGTACGAAGGACGGGTACTCTGCTAGTATTCTATAAAATCCAACCTCAGGCCTTTGTTCTGCTGGCTTTGTTGAAAATAATGTCAGATTTTAACAATAACATAAGGACTTTATTTGTAATGTGAATCCAGACTAGTCAGAAAGTAAACAAGAGCCACAATAATTAAAAAGAACATATGGTGTCAATATGAAACAAATATATTACAGGCTTGTTGATATAATCCAAGATAATATAATCAATATGAATGTATTGTTGTATGTTTGTTTCTCAGTCAGATCAGGATGGCATTTCTCCTCTTTGTTTCTGTTCCAATAACAGCTGTTTGCTTTATAAACACACTCAGGGAATTTGTTTTTGAAGCATTGTTTCTTTAATTACTCCGATAATTTTCCAAAATGCCATTAAAACGCAAATCTGATCTTGGAAGAGATTCTCGAGCACAAAGAAGAGCTAGAAGACGCCGACTTTTGAATCTTCAAGAGGAACTTAGAAGCATTAAGCAAGAGGAACAAAAAGAGATTTTTGAATCACTTGAAGCACTGGATCAGTCAGAAATTAGGCTACTACGGCTTACCCAAAATTCGGCCACTCAAAATGGTGCTGAAAATGTGGAGCAAACTCAACAATGTCAACTAAATGAGGCATCGGTAAGATTTTCATGCTATTGCTAGCTAAGCTTAGCTCCCCTACAGGATTGCAATATTTCTTTGTAGACCTACTGACATTTTTTGTAACAATGGCTGAACTGCCAATTCTCTTTTAGGCTAAATTGCTTGAAAATCTTTTCAGCGGGGATAGGCCTACATTCACAATAATGACATGCAGATCCAAAAACGGCCATCTAGGAGGCTTTTTTTGCATCAGTAGGCTCCAAGTAAATAGTGAAGCGAGGGACAAGTGCATATCTTGCTGAAAATGTGAATGCTTCTATTGATTACATTGTTAAAATTGTCATATTCAATTTTTTTTAACTATTTTTGTGTATATTTTTTACCGCACAAACATCAAGCCTTTTACAATTGAATCATTTTGACAGTTGACTCCAGTCACATAGGTAATCATAAACTACATCAACCTTAGTACCTAATGCAATTAAACCTCAAAATGTAATTAAACTTATTACTACAATCCTTTTGCTCTCTAAAAATAATACTAGCGACTCAATAATTAAATAATTAAATCCACAACAAATATCATACATAGGTAGCCTACACTAAACTTAGAGGTATTTAATACTCTGAAGTCTGAGGGCTTATGCCATGCGATAACAATAAATTACCTATGCTCTTTGGAATAGAATGAAAGCCTCCCATTTTGTGTCACACAGTATAAATTTGAATGACATTTCCCCTTATTTCAGCATTGTTGCATTTTTGTTTTTCAAACATCAGCTTTTTATTTTATTCAAACAATAAGTTATTGTTTTGTGAGATATTTTTGCATTTGTTATCATTTTGGTAGTTTTTTTCCTAAAATGCCTAGAAAAAAACGATCTGATCTTTCAACGATAAGTTATAAAGCTAAAAGAATGAAAGATAGACGCCGAGCTTTGAAAAATCAAGGTGAACTTAGGAGAATTAAGCAAGTGGAACAACAGGTCATTTCTAGACCTGAAACACCAGAGTCAGAAATGAGGCAAATACTGCTTATCCAAAATTTGGAAACCCAAAGTTCTGCTGAAACAGAGCACACTCAACAACAGCGACTAAACCAGGAACGGGTAAGATGTTTGTGCTGAATATTTTGCTAGCCTAACTCCACATCATATTACCCTGAGTGTGTAACTTTCTTGTACATTTGCTTTACAATGACCGGACTACAAATTTCTTTTCCACATTGCCACCTTTCTCAAATGGGAAGATACCGCAGCATTCAAGTAGCGAAAACAGCCGTCTAGTAGTGATTTTGTAATGTAAAGTAGTTCAATTGTTAGGGAATGTTGTTAGAAAACCTGGGCTTACTAGACTAATACATCATAGGTGTTTTATTTCATTTTATTTGTGTGTTTTATGTCAGTGGCATTTTTTAGGTTTTGAAAGGAAACGGTCCAAACCCTGGTCTTAGCACTATCTGACGTCGACGTTTTTGTTAGATAGCATCATTAATTCATAGCCAAATGACAAATCTGGCATCTGGGTCTGGAAACGATCTCGCTTGGACCAGCGACCTTCAGATTTGAAGGCGAGCACTATAACCACTCGGCTACCCAGACAATTAAGTGTTGGGCGGGATTGTTTCACTTGGAGACGATTTAAGTCAGACGCTGCCACATATTAAGTGGGACAAACCAGCGTATTTAATTTAATGTCACAAAAGGCTCACAAGTTTAATTTTATTAGTACATTTTTTTCTCTCTTACTTTCTCGTTTGTACCTAAGTTGTTACATTGCCTCCAATACAGTGTCTTCTTTATCTATACATAGTCTTCCTATACATTGTCTTCTGCAATCCCCATACTCCTCATGTCTTGCTACACTTAATGTCACCCAATATGGGTCTTCTTCCTTCGAGAGTTCCCTTCAAGATTACCTTTTCTTTAAGTTGAACTATCTTACTTTTATCAACATGTGTCCAGTCCTACATCTTATTTTTCCCACGATACATTTCCATGTCTATACATTTCTGTTATTTCCTGATCCTGTCCCTCCATCCTCCTGCATTGGGCCAATCTTTTTTTTTATGGAATGAGTAAAATTTGGTTACAAGAACAAGTAGAAATGTCTTAAGTTGGAAAACCCTGATCTGCTTGTCAATGTCAAACCTTGGAATTTTGATATAACTAGACATCCCATCCCCATGTTAAAGTTGTCGCCAGTTTTAAAATCAAAATCGTCGTAGTTGATGTGAGCCACCAACAGATTGTGCTGATCTAAATGACTAACTTCTGAAACATACAAACTGTTTCACCAAGTCAAACTCATTGAACGACTTATTGTGAGCTATACCAACTGTTAAGCAAACTATTAACTATGTCAGCAACCAAAAATAAGGAAAAATTGTATACACTAGCGCATTCTGCGACTAGCTCACACAACTAGCCTACGTTCTTTTTTTATAAAAAAATTGGCAACAGCTGGTCCATATATAGATGGGATGTCTACTTCAGTATCCAATAGTCAATGGTCAACAGGGCTGTCCCTAGGGTTGGCGGCGCCCGGAGCAAACATGGTCGTGGCGCCCCCTCCCCCCCAGCAGTAATAGTCACATTCTCATATTTTAATACTATGTTAATACAAATAGCCGCTGCTCGGCGCCCCCTTAGCCACGGCGCCCGGGGCAGAGCTGCCCCGGTTGCCCCCCCCCTTCGGACGGCCCTGATGGTCAAACAAGTGATGTCTGACTTATACTCCAAATACACTACTTTCCTGTTTGTAGTTATTTGATACTATTTGAATGTTTATCATGCTCTCTTGCTGAAGCATGAATTTGATTTGCTTGCATGGGTCAAGGATACTAAATCCTCTTCTTTCAAAAAAGAATTTCAGCTATTGTCTTAACAAGTCGTACAAATTTTACTGGTCTTTCCTACACTCTGTTGTCAGTTTAATAAAAAAAACTTTCTTCTTCTCAATTAGTGTTTTTTCTTCCTAACCCCATATTAGGCCTATCACATTATCACAAAATTCAACATGCATATGGAAACCAATTTATTGCAAAAAATTTCTTTTTAATCTCTATTACAGTAAATTCGGATTCAAATGATAATATCTAAAAGATTAAGTAATTGTTCTGCTTCATCTATGGTACCTAAGGCTACAATAGTTCATTCTCTGTGGTTTCATGTATGAGAACCTGATTGTTGATTTCAGATGACTTATAATAATAGTCGATCGAATAGAACTTGGTCGTTGGAAAGCATGCGTCAAGCACTACAGGCAGTTGACGGAGGAATGTCAGTACGAAGCTCCGCTGAACTCTACGGCATCCCTCGTAACACTCTGACTACCTACGTGGCCAGTGGTACCAACCTTATTTTTACAGTTAATCTTATAGTGATAGTAGATCACCATACTTTATGACTTCTCTATCAATGTCTCATTTATAATATGTGTCCATATTTTATTGGAATTTATTGTTAAAAATAACTTTTGTTGTGTTTACAAGATTAGTAATAACAGAATTCATTCTAATCTGTAAAATTCTTAGCTGTGTCAACGTTTCTGTTCGGTTATTACCTTTTCTCACAGAGAAGTGGGGCACAGAAAAAAACATGGCACACTAAAGTGGTGTCTAGCACTTGTGCTGGTGTCTGGGGCAAAGTCTAACTCCAACCCCTCACCCCTATTACTGTTGCTGGAGGAATTTCCGCATAGTGCTTGTCGCTCGGGCTCTTAAGTATTTCTGATCACAACATAGGCTACTAGAGCTGAAAGCGCACTGTTGTCCCAAGTGTTTTCCCTCTGTGCCTCACTTCTTTGTGTTTTTCTTTAGTCACACAAAGTAATAAGTAAAATTCCAACGGACTTGCCAATCATCAAAAGTAAAAAAATACAGTATTTTAAACTCACAAAGAATTATTTTAATTTCCTGTATTTTATCTAAAAATGTTAATTTATATGTTTATATTAAAGTTTAGTTGCTTTATAATTTTGTTGTTTGCTTTCAAACCTGATTGCATTCCTTTTCCTTATTTTAATATTCATGCTTTCCTTAATTATTCCATCATTCACTGTTTTTGTTTTGACAAATTTTTTTTACTATTAATTTATTATTGATTATAGATGTCTTTTTTTAGATTGTAGCATGAGAGTGCTATTCAGAAAGTAAAAAAGTTTTGGAATAACAAGTTTGTTAAAAAAAAGCTTCATTTTATATACATTTGAAAAAAATTCTACTTTTCTACATAGTCACATAACAAATTGATTACTAACAGTGGACGAGCTTTGAAATTTATTTATCACAAATTCTGCCACCAGCAAGAAAACGATCGCTTACCAAGTGTTCATTTTTTAATCAAGTTTGAAGCCCTCGGAACCTAAAGTCTAGTAAACTATAGAGTCTTTTTGGACTGTAGAGTGGTCAAGGAAAACTCTACCATTTTAATAAATGATTGAGATTTGTGTGTGATTTGACATTGTGATTTTAGGCCATGAAAAATGGACTTCAACCTTAGTTAAGCACCTTTGAAACTTAATGCACCATTTTCAGAGTTTAATTTATTACAGTGTTCCCGTACACTTCACACAATTGAAGTTTATGACCAACAAAAACCCCATTACACTTTAACATGATGCTTGCACCTCGAGTGGAAATTTAATTGCTCACATTTTAAACTTGAATATTACGACAACAGGCAGCGGCAACGACACTTCAGCTGTAACAGTTGGACTGACATTGAGGTGAACATGTCTGAACAAGATGGATGCCTGCGTCTGATAATGTTCCTTACTTTCTGAATAGCCCTCATGCATGGGTAGCGTTTTTAAACATGACAGTTTTAGTTTACGTATGTATCAAAACGTGTGAAATATGGCGAGCAAAAAATAAGAGTGCAAATTATTTTTAGGTGATTTGCATTTAAATCAAATTGACAACCCCTGCTTGGGGATTTGTTCTCTCAAATATTGAAAATCGTTCAACTGTGATGAAATTTAAGACAAAATAGAAGACACACCTTTTGTAATTCTAAAAATGCTTATGATTCCTCTGGTTTAACAATTTTTGTTTTAATCTTGCAGTTTTTCTTAAATGTTTTTGTGATGTTTTAGAACTTAGACTTGAAGATGAGATGAAGTTTATGGAAAATTTTGATCCTGAAAAAAGCAAGAGGGAACAAAGAAAGTTAAACAGAAAGATTTCCAATGTGTAAGTAGACTTTGTAATTTTTAGTAGTATTCAATAAATAATTACCGTTGATTTTTCTTAAAAATTGACAAATTTTGTATTCTGAAAACCATTCACTAAAAAAATAAATAATCACATGGATAAAACAATATCCATGCTAGCCACTGTTCTGGGAAAATTTGTTTTTAGTTAAAACTTTAAATTAAATTTTAATATTTTTAACATTGGTCTTATAGAAAGCTAGGTAACCAAGACAGCTTTACTAGAATGAAACTAAATTAATTGTTACATATGCTTATAACTAATCATCTACAGTACAGTGGTAAATAACTAAATACAGTACAAAAGAAAAGGACATTCCCCTAAAAAACATTAAGCACAAAATGTTGCGTAAATATCTCCAATACGTGAGCATGATAAAATGTTACTATATAATTTATTTTATTATATATTTTAGACTGTATTTTATAATATCATGAAAATGTTACATATCTAGGCATATGTTAATATTTTTAACTTCTCCTACGAATTGAACACGAAGAGCAATGCTCGGTCCCAAGTACTCATGGTATTTAATGATCAGTTTACATTTTCAGGGCAACCCGGAAGTCAGTGTATGACGAGAAGGGTATACATGTCAAGACAGGATTGGACTTGTGTGACTGCCTCAATGACAAGTGTGAGGGCTGCTTTTTCCCCTGCACCAGATGTCGTTCGACTAAATGCGGCCACGAGTGTCGGTGAGTCATGTGTGATCTTTGTAAACTTTCATCAGTAAAATATCTGGAAACTGCAAGCGAGCCTAAAGAAACTTTTTTCGCGAGAGCTAATCAGTATCTTGTTCAAGGGGCCGGGAAAAAGGTCCTATCTGCAATCAATTTTGGTATAAAACACGTTAACTTAAAACAAATTTTGGGCTATCAAAAACAAAAATTCTCTTCAAAAAGGTTTAAAACTCAAATTAATTGTCCCTACAGTTTTTAAGCAGATTTTGAACTAATAAAATAACTACAAAATTGATACTGTACTAATGTCAACTACGAGTATTCAAGATCAATTATGCAATTGATGATAAAAATGTATGGCTGTTCTTAGCCATAAAATTAGCCAAAATATTACAGAGGTGAACAGAATCTTATTGGGTGATGAACGGAATTCTATTTGTCTTAAAAATGATTTTGCTAAATATAAATTTAGAGTTTTAATGAATTTCCCTATAGGGAAGTAGCTATACCATAGGTGGCACGGTAAGACTTAGACCCAGGACCGATTGACTCTTTTCATTTTAATGTCCCCAGAGCCAAAAAACACTATTCGTTCAAATTTATATGTGTGTCCGAGAACGGTAACTCGAGTCGAGTACTGTAATATTGGTCAGATTTTTATGAAATTTAACTTGAAAATGTAGGACGGGATAAACTTGAATGAGTTCGCGAACAGCAACATCGGAGCATGGGAACTCACTTTTTGAAATTTTCAAAAATATATCTTTTCAAATATTAATTTTAAAACATGGAAATACACATTTTTATCCAAACAATCTTGTAGAGCTTAAAAAAAAACAAATAATTTCTAGTATTGAAGCGTTCTTGTACAATTAAAGGTTAGAGAGAAAATAAAAAAAATTTTACATTTAAAATTCCTACTTTATTCTCATGGAGGAAATGAAAACTGGTGCAGTTTGCTTGTTTGTCTTACACATTTTGCAAATTTATTTATTTCATCCTGCACTATTTGGTCAAAATAATACAGAATATCTTAACCTCCTCGTAGCAGCATACCTAAGTACTTGTTAAATCTAATGTTATATAAATGGAGAATAAACGTCTTGTTTATAGAAATATTTTAGTAAAAATCCACTGACAAATTAACATTCCCTTATTCTGCAGGTTTGTTGCAGCAGGGATATTGATTAATCGCTTCTGTTATTAATATTTTCAGAACAGCTCGCCGATGGATGTATGAGACCCACACTATCCAAGGGATGGACGAGATAATACAAAACCAGTATTTGGACCATTAAGCACCTGTAAAACTTCAATTTTTGTGTTATATAAAATAAATAAAATATTCATCCAATTGACAGCTCGTCAATTTAGTCTTGACAGCTAGTCAATTGATTTGATCGCTACAAAGGAGATAATTTTTCTTTAGAATTATTAAAAGTTTCAATTTCTATCTTAAGACTTTCTACTGTATTCTAAATATTCAAAAAATACTTCTCTTGTTTTCTGATAAGTTTTTATAGTGTTGAAAGTGAAGTAATACAGATCTGTAACACTGTTTTGAACAGGTTTTAGAAAATGTTGTGTGTTTTTATTGTTTTTGAATAAAGTTTTTAAAACTTATAATCTTAAATTATTTCCACCTCTCAAACAATGTGTAATGTTTTAATATTATAATAATAGTTTAATACTGTCTTTTGGGTTTTCAGTAGCACATACAACTTTAACCTTTATAACAAACTAGATGACCCATCGGCTCCTCCCGATACAATTTTGTGTTTTATTACTACTATTGCTGAAGGCTAAAATTGCCTTTTTCATTAATTTACTGTCCAAACTCTCCTTTTACCAGTAGCTTCAAATTACTTCCTCACTTAGAATAATTATAGGCCTACCCTCAAGCTGAATTTACCAGTAGTGCAGTTGGTTCTCTTTTTACATGATTGAAAAGTGTTACATATCTTGCAGTAGTATAACAACCTTTATTTATGTGACATGGTGTTCTTTTATGCATTTATTCTTGGATACTTCCTTACTAATACATTTTAAATACTTATGTTGAATAGTGCTGGCAAATGGCCTGATAATTTCTTGTGGATCTCATTGCTCTAAAACTAAATAGTTGCAGGTATATAGTATCGAAAATGTATACACACATAAAAGTGGCTTTTCTAAAATGCCAATAAAAGAGATTTTCTACTTGATATCTTTAATTTCTAAACTTTGCTTACATTCAATTCACGATAAAAAGGTTTACAACTCACTTCAACCGCTATTACTTTTGCTACATCTGTGACCACCCAATTCACCCCAATTGTGAACTCATTAGAAAGAAAACTCAAGTAGAAAAACTACTTAGTTTTCTTCTTTAATGCCTAAAGAATCACTGTACCAAATTTAAGTCTCCTAGATAAATGGGAAGTAGGAGAATTAGTGATGAGTGAATGAGTCAGTTAGTGAAGGCTTTGCATTTTTTAGGTATAGATGTTTCTAATGGGAATAATAAACACACAGGGGATATTACAAAAAGTATTTATTCATACCTAATGTTCTACATCTATGAAACAGTAAATATAAACAGTAATTATATTTGTACAAACTTTACAAATTACAATTTATATAAAATACATAATGATTATGGGGCAATAACAGATAACCTGCTTTTTCATTATGGCTAAGATCCATGGCAATCTATGTGTGTTTTAATTTATAAAAAAACATTACTTTCGTATAATTTTATAAAAAAAACACTTAAGTTAAAAAATTACACAATAACTTTATAATTCTAAGTAAATGATTGATTAAATGGCACTTTATTTGAACAATCGCTGGTTATATTTGTTTTTTTCTTGGTCTTAAAGGAAACACCGGCTTTTCTTAGTTTGGATGGTTAATTCTTCATTCAATAACTTTTTATTGCTAATTCGTTAAATCAAGTTTATAACCAAAGCAACCTCAATAGCGTTAATTTAATAAAAGTCAGTTATTTAAATAAAATAAATTGTGGTAATACAATTGATGTAATAATTCCTCATCAAATGACATTGAATTTAAGTGTTTTTAAAGTTGTTCGGGGAACTTTTGTTTTTAAGTTTTAGGAAAATGATTTTAACAGAAAAAAAGAAAAACTGTTTATAATTGATGTCTTAGAAATTTTAAAATACAAACTTTTTACCATAAACATTTTTGACTATCTATTTTTAGGTATTGTGAGTTTGTTAATTTAAAATGTTAAGCATAACAATGAACAATTTTCTCATTTATTTAATTTTAGTTAAATAATCTTTTTTTAACCATTAAAAACCCAAACGTGCCATTGTTAAGACCAAGAAACATTTAATGGCAACAATTAAGAGAGTCATATGTCCACAAAATTTGATCATGTTTCATTTTATTTAACAGTAGTACATGGCAAGCAATTGAGCACTAAAATTGTAGTTCTTCCATTAGTATTACTAAGCATGGATACTTTTTATTTGTTAACTATTTACAAATTATATTAAAATTCTATTTAATCACCCCATGCTAAGACAACACTAAATGGCAAGATCACAGTTTGAGAAGTTCATAATATTAACTAACGTATACGTTGTCGTGGGTTTTATTTTGGAACAATATAAGTTTTGATTACATTAAACATATTTACATCGAGTCTTACACTTATTCACGTTTTATATACGATTCGTAAATAATTATATTCGAGTTAAACAGAACACTAGTTTGTACGATTTACGACGATTATTTACACGAACTCTTCGAGAGAATTTGATATACAGTCAAGTATATTAGCGTTCCAAGTAATTTTTATCTACAGTATTTCACTTGTCTTCTAACAAAGTCCAAGACACACTTTGCACTCAGTCACTTTTCGCGCTTCCTATTGCTAAGGTCGAGTTTATAAATAAATCTTACATAAAAAATTACAGTTTTGATTTTTGGGAAAAACTTGTTTAATTTACAAAGTACGTATTTTGTCAGAAGGTATTTAAATAATTTAAATTTATTTAAAACTCTTTAACTGACCGACCGAGTGTATCCTCAATTAGTTCTTCAAAGAAATCTACATTGATTTTTAACAACTTGGTTGGTAACACATGGCTGGTAAGACTAACACAATTTTCAGGAAGTTTGTTATCATTAGGATTAAATAACCATTTAAGAACTATCTTCGAGCGATTCACTTGATCGGTCCAAAATAAATACGCTTTGGAGGGTCATTAGATCCTGAGTTCTGAATCCGTTGTCCTTTGTCGGACATGGTGTGAGGTAGGCACTCCGGGCGTGACGAGGGGGGATATTGAAGGAGACCTTGTCGCCAGGGGGGAAAGGGAAGGGGAAAAACTGGGAGACATGGCTGTCGACGTACTAAAACCACCCCCACTGGCGTCATGACTGATGGGGGACCTGGGTAGTAACAGCATCTGCGGGGGCGCCACGGAGCTGTGGTGGGGGTTGCGTGCTGACAGCACGGGTGCCGCTATTGACCGAGGAGCTACTGAGGTCAACAGAGGCGGGGGAACAGTCTTAACTACAGGCGGGGCACAGGTCTTGCTCTTTCCACTGGACGCACCACTGTTGCCACTCTTCACTGAGGCCGCGTCATCTTTTAACCTGGCTATTTCAGAGAAGACGTGCGCTAAAGGTTGGTATTGGGGTCCCCAGTCGAGTAGGTAATCCCAGTTATAGCTCCCTGTGAGCTCTTCTTCACTATGTACAATCGAGCTCAACGACCCTGTCATGGAAGGTTGGTGAGTGCCATTAGGAACATCTCCGAAACCTCCCAGGACCATCACATGATCCACCGCAGCACCCAACGCGCCCGTACTTCCTCCTCCGACTTCTTCCGTACTGCTGCCTCTCTCACTCCCACTGACATCGTTCAACTTAGCATAAATTAGGTTAGTGATGTCGTTTTCTCCTCCGGCATCTTCATCAAACATGTGGAGACCGTCTATCGGAACACCTTGGTGATGCATCAGCCCGTCTTTGCTACTTCCAGCTACGAGACTTTCTGAGTGTCTTCTGGACGCTGATGATGTTCCTTGAGTGTCTACAATTCCTAATCGAGCGAGGTATTCTTGTGTATTGTGTACAGATACGTCAGAAAGGTTGTCTTCATCATCAGGATTTCTGTGCAAGCCTGATTCTCGTTGTAAGGGTCCCTCATTGATCATACGAATCTCTTCATCTTCAACATCTTCACCGTCCTCGGCAGACCCTCTTCCACTGGAGCCCGATTGCTCTGATCCGGATAGTTCAGATGTTGTTGCAGCACCTGAGTTTGAACTGCTTGTGTTATTATTTCTGTATGTTGGTATTTCATCATATTTAGGAGGTCCGAATTGACTAGCAGGTCCAGCCACACCACCTCGAATAGGAATTGTATCGAAAGCACTAGGATCAACAAAAGTGTCAGTACTTTGTCCACCACTCAGCCCCGGTTTGTTAACTTTTTTATGTCGTCTATTTCGGACATGTAGGAATAGGAAAACAGCACCAAATGCAAGAACTATCAGTATCAAAGCAATCAACAAACCCATGGCCCAGTCAGCTATTCCACTACTGGTTGCTGCCAAAGCCGCGTCATTTCCGCTCCCAGTTACAATGATGTTGGATTCTGTGTCAGCGAGTGGGTCGAACGAGATCTCAACAACACTCATATTAGTGAGCGAACCTTGTCTTCCAGAACTTGCTGTTACCACTAAACTCACGTCTTGTTTTATATCAAAACCTGAATCAAACTTCTTCTTTACCATCAGTACTCCTGTAGTTCTGTTGATTTTGAAATACGGGTTCTGTGATGTCAATTGATAAACTATTCTTCCATCTGGCCCTTTATCTCTGTCAGTAGCAGTCACGTGACCTACAACATAGCCAACTGGTAGATCGTTTCCTCCAAGCACAAATCTGTATGTCCTTTCTGTAAATTGAGGATGGAATTCATCTCTGCTTTCAATTTCTATTCTAACTCTTACTCTTGCAGTTCTACCTCCAATATCACTTGTGGTCAGAGTAAAGGCATACCGATTCCTACTCTCGTAATCAAATACAGCATTGGTCACTATTAGACCTGAAACAGGGTCAACACGGAATAGTTTCCAAGAATCTTCGATGTCAGTGAAACCTGATGCAGCAGCAGAAACGATGGAATAGTTCAACTGGCCGTACGCTCCTCTGTCTATATCTGTAGCTCTAGCTATGAATACTGGTGTTCCAACAGCTTCATTTTCACCAACAAACTCAAGATATTCTGACACAGGAAAATGTGGGGTGTTGTCATTCTCGTCTTGTAAAATTATTTTGATTGTCTCTACGG